AATGGGCTGGCTTTTAAGTCTTAACGAACAAAAACCTTGAGAACCCTCTCACATGCTCGCTGACACCACCCCCACCTTTGTCACGTGCTCCCTGGGCCCCACGCCCACCCATTCTTTTAAATTAATTCCCAACCCAAAAATTAAAAATAAAAAAAAGCTCATATTCAGTTCATGTTCAAGTATCTTTTTATTATTATTTTTTACTGCGTATAGTGTAATGATTAACCAAAACAATTAAATATACATATTTTAACCCGGCGGAAATAACTAAACAACCTTATCCATTTTTGGGATCAGTGTCCATTCCCTCAAATTTCTCCACTCCACGAGCATTGGAAAAGAAAAGATCTACACATAAATGATAAACCCAATTCTTGTAATTGACAATAATTTGAATGGAATATTAAGGAAAAATGAGATTGAAATTATTAGGATACATTTTATGTATTTTTATATAATAAATTGGATAGAATGGGAGAGAAATTATAATTGAAGTTTGTGGGAGTAAAGGGATTAAAAGAGAATGGCGTTTTAATGTGTTGATGAAGTTGAGCTGTAAGCGTCGTGCTTAAACGTGGGGAGGAGAATATAATAACGGGTTATGAAATGATGGGGAGGAGTAGAAAAATAAACAATAATAATAATAATTTTTTTAAATTAGTTTAATTATACAATAATTTAGAAGAAAAAAAATTGAAAAAGCACACCTCCCAATGGGAAAATATTATTAGCTAAGGCAGAAGAATCCGGCTGTAAATTTGGACATTACTGGACGAATCACAGCGACAAAAACCTGCAAGATCGATTCTTAGGGGTTGATTTTTTTTTTCTTCTTTTTAACCAAGTAGATTAATGTCTGTGAGTAGTTGGAGCTTGATGTTAAAATGACGTTTTTGGCCCTGGAAGCCATTGACGACGGGTCGGTGGTAGAGAGGTTAAATTTGGAGGGAATTGAGGGGCGTTATTGTCAGAGGGGAAAAATGGTATATTTTGGAAGGGAAAAAAAAGGGGAGAGTTTAATTGGAAACAACTTTACAGAACTTGCAAGTCACTTCCTCATTATTATATTCATCGCCCTCTGCATGCAGCGAGATGCTCATTCTTTTTTCTTTAGAAAAAAAAAAGAAAAAGAAAAAGAAAATGTTGTATTCCGATTTTGCCCTTGCTTTTGCTCCTCAAAATCCCCCCCTCCATCTTCTCCACTCTCCATCGGACACATTTTTGTTTCTCTCTCTCTCTCTCTGCTGTGATTCTGCAATTTCGATTGCTTCGACCGACGAGCTTTTTGTTTCTGTGTGAGTCTTTGGTTTTGGTGCTGTGTTTTGCTGTGGCTATGGAGGTGAACAAGTTTCTGATCGGTGGATATTTCGACGCCGGAGCGGGACAATTCTCGCCGGAGAAGGCGAAGGCTGCGGAACACTTTACCATTGATGACCTACTTGACTTCTCTAATGAAGATGCGATGGTGACCGACGGTTTCTTCGATAATGTGGCGGGAGCTTCGACGGATTCCTCCACCGTTACTGCAGTCGATAGCTGTAATTCCTCCGTCTCCGGTGGCGATCATCATTTCCATGGAAATATTGGCTCCCAGAGCTTCGGCGAGTCTCAACTCTCCAGCGACCTCTGCATTGATCCGGTAGGGTTTTGTAACGAATCGCATTTGATTTTCGGTGTTCTTCGGATTTCGGAACTTCAATTCTGTTGATATTTATCGAAATTTTCAGCAAATTTGATTGAGCTTGGAAATTTTGAATTGATTTTGAAATTTGAAGCAATTCGAATTTTCTAGGAGTAGTTTATAATCAATTCATTCAGTTAGATATATTCTAATTCAATTTCGTCGTTCTTTCTTAATTTATTCTTACAGTACGACGATTTAGCGGAACTCGAATGGCTTTCGAACTTCGTGGAAGATTCGTTCTCAACGGAAGGAAAAGATCTTCAAGCACTTCACTATCTCTCCAGTAGCCATTCAATTTCGAAGCCTCAAACTCCAGAAACTTCTTCTTCCTCGGAATTGCCGCCCTCCGTATCCATTCCCTCCGATACCTCGAAGAACGCGCCGCGTTTCCCCGCCGAAACGCCTCTCCCCTGCAAAGCACGAAGCAAGCGGTCACGCACCGCTCCCTGCGACTGGACCACACGCCTCCTCCACCTCCTCTCGCCGGCGGATCCTAAACCGCCGAAATCATCGACGTCGAAGAAGAAGGAGGCTTCGAACTCCGAGTCCTCGGGCCGGAAATGCCTGCATTGCCAGGCGGAGAAGACTCCTCAATGGCGGACTGGACCGATGGGCCCTAAAACACTCTGCAACGCTTGCGGCGTCCGGTACAAGTCCGGGCGGTTAGTGCCGGAGTACCGGCCGGCGGCGAGTCCGACGTTCATATCCGCGAAACACTCGAATTCTCACCGGAAAGTTCTGGAGCTGAGAAGGCAGAAGGATCTCCAAATGGCGCAGCAGCAACAGTTCATAAGTCACAGTTCAATTTTCGGAGTAACGAACGGCTGTGATGAATACTTGATTTCTCATCACATGGGGCCCACTATTAGGCATATGATCTAGTGGATGGTAGAGTAGGAATCTTAGCATGGACTTCATATTTTCGCAATCACTTTTTTTTTCTTTTCTTTTTTTTTTCCACTTTCCTTTTTGGGTCCATTTTGGTCATATCATAAAAAAACAGAGGAGTTTGGCAATTTTTATTATCACCATTTCAAAATTGAAGATAAATGTAGAATTTGAGAGAGAAAAAAAAATGGAAACAGAAAATAAGGATAATATAAATGAAATGAGAGAGAGGGGTTGGTACAAAAAGCCTAGTGGATCATTATTTGAAGGCAATGTAAACAACCAAGCCCTTTATTTCCTTTTATTTTTTATGTTTCTAATTTTGCAAAAATTTATGTCTATTTCATAATTTGTTTAAAGAAAAAAAAATCAATTATGGCTTTTGTTAACACTAGTTGGGCAGTTGAGGTAATCTGTCAGCTAGTTGGATGGATTAAAGATTTTGATGGAACACAAACTAACAATTGTACTTTTAACTCTAATTTAATCCTACCCGGCCTAATTAACCCGAATTTTATTTGTTCATTTTGCTGCCATATGAAAGAATGTCATCCAGAGGAGCTAAAGATGATCATAATTTGTCAATTTGAACATAAATTAGTAGAAAATACACTATTTATTTTCTTTGAGATTGAAGGTATGATACTCTACCTGTAATTGTTAAAAAAATATTAAAAATTATGTAAGCATAATTCAAAAATACCCCTTCTTGGAAAGAAAAAAAAATCAAAATACATGCTTTCAAACAATTTATAAAATAAAAACGATGGGGAACAATTTTCTAAAGTTAATTTATGATTTTTTGAAATACATCCAAACTACCCATGAGTTTCTATTTTCAAATTTTGACTAAGAATATTTAAAATTACTTGGAACTTTAATTGTTGACAAACACGCTTCTATTCAAATCATATTGTAGTAGATAAATTTTAATTGTCGAATCAAATCCTTAATCAAAACTAGAAAATATATACCAAAACAACTCCTTGATTTTAAATCAATCTTGATGGTTTAGGAGAACAAAATAAACAGTTAGCAAAAGAAAAATATCAAATCAAAATCATGGAGAAGAAGAAACCAAACAAAAACAACTTTGCAGTTTAAGCCAAACCAAAAATAATAGGCCACCAAAATTATTTATTAAGAAAAAAAACAATATTTGCATCTAGCTAGATATATGGCCTAATTGCACATGAAGAACTCATCAGCTTTTCCTCAAATTCACAACTTTTTTTTTTCCCTTTTGGTTTGTTGGGTTAAGCGGTTAAGGATCCCACGTTGAAGACAAAAGGGACCTAATTGTTATGGGAAGATAAAAAGAGAAGAGACCAAGCGATGTGAGGCCGAAGGGAACCTGAGAAGAAAGCACGAGCCAGGAAAGGGGGTTGGCACCTGACGACCTGAGCCGGCCCCCGGCCGAGAACTATAATGGTCCATCCAACCGTTTCGCAGTTACACCCCTATTAACTCGCCTAGATTCTCAATTCGACCTAAAACCGACAACGAAGCAACGGACCTGGAGATTGAAGATTCGACTACGACAAATATGGAGGGGATTGAGATTAGACGACTATAAGTAAGAGATAACCAAACCCCAAAAGGTACGCTGGAACATCTTATTCTCCGCACTCGACTTCTGATACCAACTTAAATATCGGAGCCCCTGTGACAAAAGCTACATCGGTCCTAGTTTCAATCTATTTTGCAGATCAYGTCCGTCAATATAAACAATAAAAGATTTTATGATTCCCCATCAAAATTTCCCCTTTTTTTCAACCAATTCTAAAATGAATAATATTTGGTGGCACTTCAAATCCCACATGCACATGGGTTTTGGGACAATTCCAAGGCACCAACATGGGTTTCAGAGTCCCATATAATTAATATATCATCATATCCGATTCGGATTTCGTACCACTTTTATTACATCGTATCCTCTACGTACCGTCCACATGGACGCCCAACGTGTTTCCAAAGTTTCCACAATTCAATTTACTTATTTGGTAATATTCATTGCAACCTTTTTTTCTTCTTCTCCTTATTCCAATGCTTCCTCCTCTTCCTCACCATTTCAATAAGTCTAAGTTTACAATTAACTCACTCTTTTTAAATTTTATAGATACTCAAAGTTGTGAAAGACAACTAATCATCCACATATAGAATTATAAATTTGACATTAACAAAACTTTAAAGCTTGACGATTTATTGTGTCAAATTTAATATAGACATACGTTGGTGTTGAAATTTTATAACCGTCAATATAGGTATTTTTTAATAATTTACTTTAAGGTTAAAATTGTACTCTTTTTAACATTTTTTTTCCTACGAGCACCAATGACAAATACGTCATGCATCAACAAATACCAAATTTGTAGTAGTGTTAATGAATTGGGACACTTTGAGTAATAATGCAAAACCCATTTACTTTTGATCATAATTAATCGATTGATAAAATATTTATTTTCTAAAGGTCATTCTAACTTGTAACAATCCGTTCTAAGGCGATGCATTACTCATGCCACATTGTCTCTTCCCTCCAAGGAGTTATATGGACATACCTTTGGTAAATTTTGTTTATTGATACCCACCACTAATTTCGACATTTTGATTTGCTTATTTGTCTGAGTCTGACCTAAGAAATTGATGCTTTCAATCACGATGGTTTTTAAATTATCTAAAGTTTATCCTCTTAGTTAATAGCTTTTAAATTTTTAATAATTATAAAACAAAATTCAATAACTAGTATTATGAAATACATGGGGAGCTTTTTCCTTTTTATTTTTGATTTGAGAATCACAACAATTTAAATAATTAAACGGAAGAGAATTAGGTAAGAAAATAAATTGAAGGAATGAATTATGCAACTGTCCATCCAATTGCCACCTGACCGACCATACTTCTAAGGTCCATTATGATATATATTATAAATGAAGTGGGGTCAAATTTATAATATTCCTTTTCCTAGGTTATGACTATAAATATTAGAAAGTGTGGGGTGCATTCAAAAATGTCAAATTCTTCATCAATGCACGGAGGGCATAGAAGAGCTGGCTTCTACTGTTGGATTCAAGTTCCTTCTTATTCAACCAATTATTTTTCAATTATTTGTTCTCCCATTTTTTTTAATGAATCATATATTTTATATATTTTGTATCCTAAAATGACGTTCAAATAGTTTTAGATCTCAACATAAAAATAATTCAAAAATTTTAGTTAATATACATATTTATATTTATATTTGATGGTTTAGACCATGAATTTTATTTAGTGCACGTAGTTTAAAATTTGTTACAATTTAGTCATTACAACTAAAAATTTGTAACAGTTTAGTTTTTAATGTGGAAAGTTCTATCAAGTTGCAACAGGTTTCTTGCGTAGGTAGATCAATTTTATTTTTAGATTGGGAGGATTAAGTCGCTATAAACTAAATTATATTTTAACTAGAAGACTAAATTTTATGGGTTAAATTGTTTTAATTTTTAAATTACAAGCACTAAATTATCACCGCGATATTAAAATTTGAAAGTTTGAAGACTAGTTAAATTCAACTCAAAGAATAATGATAAGAGTAGTTGGAAAAATACTTGCAAGTTGAGGAAATTGTATTGAAATTGTGGCCATGGAATTGGGTGCTTAATTGGATCTTTGCATGTTATTTTGTTTGATGAAGATGGGCTAGTTGTTGTCCCCATCTCTCTCTCTCATCATTACAAGTTTACTATACTCTTAAAATAATAATAATAATTATTATTAGAGGAGATGGAAATAATGTGACATATAGTTTTATAAAWGTATGAAAGAAAAAATTTACCAAAAAAAGAAAATTACCAACTATTTGAGCATAGCTAAATGAGTTAAGACAACTATTTCACCAAAAAGTCGTGAATTCAAACAGTGACATCCAGTGGAAACAACTATACGTCTCTCGTTATTCTTGACTTTTATGTTAGGAAAAGAAAACTGCAGACACCTTCTCTAATGAGGGATGACCACAGTATTTGTTGGGTTTTGTAAGGTGAATACAAACAAAGTCCCACACTAGTAAGCGAAGAAGATGATTATGAGTGTATAATATAAGGTATGAGGTTTTTTGGATGAAACCAAAAATAAAGTCGTGAGGACTATGCGCAAAGCGGACAATATCATACCATTGTGGAGATACTCAGAATATTATCACTATATTCAATCATTTTTCCTTTGATAAGGTTAGAGAAATAAAGAAGGTTGAGGAATTAAAGAACATATTCATCATTTCACATATGCTATTGGCTATTCAAAGTGGATAGAATAGAGGGAGTACAAAATATAGTGGTTACCAATAAATTTCCTCATTCATATCAACTTCCATTATGGAAATTCTAAATTCTAATTTTCTTTTCATCTTGGGTCAATATCAAATCATTTTGGTAGGTTGTTTAATGCTCATCAACTTTCTTTCGAATAATAAAAAAAAATATCTTTTAATGAAGAGTATTATTAAAGATACAAGTTAGTCACGTTGGGTCAAAAATATCTCTAATATATAAGATATAAGATAAAAAACAATATTTTTATCAGTAGGAGACCTTTCGGAGCATAAAAAAATAAAATTATAGAGAAGCAATTTTTTTTCTTTCTAAAATTGTGTAGGAATCAACTATATAAAATTTCATGTTTCTCGTTCTGTTTCTAGTTTTTTTCAAAACATAAATAAAAAGTATTATTTCATCATTTTTTACTTACAAAATCTATAATAAATATCAACAAATAAATCTAACATAAAAAATTTCGAAAATTTATTTAAAATTTTAATTTTCTTATAAAACCTTTACTTTTTTTATTTAAATTTTAGAGAATAAGAAACCAGAAACATTTATCAAACAAGTTTCTAATTATCATTATTATTATTTTTTTAAGTGAGAGAACCAGAAACAAGAAACAATTGTCATACACAATTATTTTTTTTCTTAATTAAAAACGAAGAAGAAACGAGAAATAAAAAATAAAAGATGAAAATATCATTATCAAACGAGGCTGTAACGTTGGTAAAATTAATTAATTAAACCCCATTTTAGAATAATTATTGCAACCTTCAACTAACTGATGTTCCACTTTATTTTTTCATGCCCTTTTCACATGTGCTACACCTACCCCCTCCCCCTCCCATTTTTTATTAAACAACAACATCAGTATGTCCTTTTCACAATATGTGTTCCATAACAACTAAGACCTCACAATTCCCATCCATTTTTTAACTTTTCCAATTGTGATACCTCCTTCTCCTACTTTGATATCAATTGTAAGGTTTTAAAAATTAATTTTCATGACTGCGATATTTTGATACCGTGAGTTCTTCGTTTAACTGATTTTCATAATTATCAGTCTTCGTGTTTACATCTATGTCTTTTTCGTCTCTTTTGAATTAGTTAAACTCATGTTAAGCTGACTTAAGTAAAGGCAGTGCGAACTTGTTGAGGACAACGGTACTCCAAGTACTCCGAGTATCTCCATAATGATACGATAGTATCCGCTTTACACATAACTCTCACGACTTTTCTTTTGATTTCACCCAAAAAAATCTAATACCAATAGAACCACGGATCATTCCCTTACTTAGCCAGATACTTTGTTTGCATTCCCCTCACAGGCCCAACAGATTTGAGAACAAAGTGAACGGTTATTACACATTTTAATTCCTTATATTTTGTTTCAATAGAATGATTAGATGGATAAATAGATAAATTTTATGGTACAATGGTTAGATAAATAATTGATGCATAATGAAAAGAAAATGTAATCTAATAGGTTGTAATTCTTACGAAACAAGAAAAGGAGCCTATACACTAATCTTTTTTTTTTTTTTTTTTTTAAAGTCAATATTAACATTTAACAATTGAAGCAAGGTAGGGATTTATATTTAGATTGATACCTCAATGCACACGAGGAAGCAAGAAAAGAAAAATAAAATGATTTGAAGGTATCATTCAACTAGAACTAATAAATTTGAGAGATGTGTTCAAGGACCTTTATTTTAATGTCCATGATATTTTTATTATAAAAAAGAGACGAAGATTCGAATGTATTAATTTCTACTCACTTAAACATAGAGATATATTAATGTTGACAACGTCGTCTTTTGAAAAGTTACGATAAGAAAAATGTTACTGGAACTAAAATTTATAGATCACAAATATTTTTGAACTTGTTTGAAATGAACATAGTTCAACTGGTCAAGATGTCATCTGCCATGTTCGAATCTTGAACTAAAAAAATCTTCGAATTATTTATTTATTATTATTTTTTGCCTAAGCTACTAAAATAAGATATATTTTAGCTGGGGCATGTGATTTTGGAGGAGTCCATAATCCACTTAAAAATACTTAAGGAGGGCACATGGTTTAGCTAATGCCTATTTGTAGGCTCTATTTAAGCTATATTTATTTCTTTAATCATATTGAATCTTTTCATGGTTACCTTTGCCACATTGATTAATTAATTATTAATCCTCCAATTTCTTACCCTCCACTCAATTCTTTATCCACACTCATCACACTGAAAAAGAAGTTGGATTTGAATTGGACACACCATTCATATTGGGCTCTCTTTTGTGGGCTTGGGCCTATCCACTCCACTTCCATCACCCTGAAAAACTTGGTCCAAACTATGTGTTTAATAAGAATTTAATAAATATAACACTAATAAAAAAGTAATTAAAAATAATCCTTTTTTTTTCTTAAATAATGGTATGAAATAAAGTTACCAAGACCAATGTAATGTCGTATTAAGTATTATTGTGCTGCTGATAAATACTCCATCCATCCATTCCTAAGAGTTGAGTTTAATTTTTATTTGGTCACTAAATTTAGTCTTGATAATTTAAAAACAAAGTATTAGTATATCAAATACTCCGATGTAAGCATAGGCAAATTAGTTAAAGTATTTTTGTTGAACGAGTTTGAATCTCTAAATTTCAAATGTTACACCTAATCTCAAAATTTTGAAAAATGGTATGTTTTAATCTGAAAGGAAGCATTTTCAAAACCACATAAATGAGAGTTTTGCATTTGCATGCCACGAGAAAGGACTGAAAAGGGGGACAAGAACAAACTTTTGTTCACAGCCTCAAATATTTTTGAAGGTCTGAGAGTCAAAAAGCTCGTGATTCTGCCAAAAAGACCATCTTTCTGGTCCCATTTGGCTATAAATTTGGTTCAGAATTGGCACTGAATCACACATTGGCTTATAAAGTCGTTGATTTGGGTAGCAATAATATTAATGGGCTGCTGCTGCTGCTGCTGCAGAGTTTCTGGCTTCTCATCTTTTGGTTATGGCTAAGGCTAAAATCTGCTGCTCCATTGAATTGGAGCCCAAAACCCTGAACCATGGCCAACTTTACCGGGCCAGGGTGAGCCAAATACCCAATCAAAACCCACCCATTTCTTGGCTTCTTCTATTTTGAAGCTTTTTTTTTTTTTAATGGAGATTACTCTGGTTTGGTTTTGATTGCTCTTGTTTTTGCTTGTGCAGGAAGTGGCTGCTGATGTTGTTCAGAAGCTGGAACCAGAGGAAGCTTCTGCTGTATTMATTGATGTATGTCTTTATAAACATCTTTTGCGACTGATTTTGGTAACGAGGAAACTACTCTTTTTTTTTTCCATTTTAAAATAATGATGTTCCCGAATGGTGTAGAAGTGATTTTGGGTCGAGTAATAGACCGGTAATAATTATTTTGGGATTCTTATGGGATGTTCGTGAGTAATTTTAACCACGYCAAAATCATTTCTAATGTTTGACAGTAAGACAGCAATATTATAAAATGACAAAAGTGATTTTCGTAATGTCAAAATCACTTCCCTTGTTCATTTTGACAATGACAAAGGTAATTTTAAAATCACTTCTCTCTAAAAAAAATTGATTTTAGTAAATTTTAAAATCATTTCAAATTGACTTTTAAGGCATTACTTGGATGATAATTTTAAAAAATCAATTATAGTTAAATCTCTTTTCTCAAAATCACTCATTCTACCGTCGCTCCAAACGCACACTTAATCATTCAAACATAATTTTGATCCTATATGAAAATCACAAAGTGTGGAACCAAACATCTTTACTATTAAACACTTTCGAGTCACTCGCTATTGGAGAACTCTCGTTAAAATCTTTTGTTCAAAAGTTACTCCAAGTATGTCCTAAATCGACTTTTAAACTCTACTTAAAAGACGTATGAATACGGGTATTGTTTTTCTTACGCACATATAATTATTATCGTGATGTTTTTCGTGTTTRATTGACGTGAGACTAGGTGGTAGAACGATTCAAAACGGTGAATCAGACGATTGAAAGCGGAGAGCCGTCTCGACCGCTGCAAGATTACGTGGAGGGAAGAGAAAGATGCCAATGCTCTTGCCTCCCTACTGAATCCCCAAATCAAATGCAGCTACTCAAAGAACCACTCTCAGCTCCATTCTGAAGCTGCATCTTTCTCTTGATCACAAGTGCTTCTATCATGGTTAAGAAGACTGTTAAATTAAATTCAAGTAGCATGATTTTATTTTGGAAGGATTTGGGCTGTCATTTATAAATTGTAATGAATAATTATTGGCTGATTAAACTGCCACTGATTATATATACAACAATATGACCTTGCTCCAAAATTTAGAAGATGCTGATGAAATCATTTAGTGAATTATAAAACAGTAGAGAAAGTACAAGTTAGAGGTGGAGTAGCAAAAATGTGTCTTTTGTATGTTTGATCGAGATAATTGTGACCTCTTAGTAGAGTCGACTAATGCATTAAAGATGCACCGATAGTACTAATATATTTAAGAATTCTTAATTGACTAGTTGTAAATACATTAATATAGAATGGAGTAGAAATAAAGTTGCTCGAAACCAATTTTATTTTTTTTTCTAGAATACACTAGAACCAGTTTAAGTCTAACCTACTAATTGAAGATATATGTCAATTACCGCTGTATGCTCATTTTGGCTAGTTTAAGTACATTTCGAATTTGATAAAATTGAAGTTTTAAATTTTGACGTTAAAATCATCGCATTGAATTAAATTAAGTATAATGGTAGAATTTTTTATTTTTTATTTTTTATTTTTTTGGTACAAGCTCCCAATACTATTGGAGAAAAAATTGAAGTCCACATTTTTGTTATCTTCTTTTAACATGAATAACGGGAAGATATTAAATCAATTTGACACTGCTTTTTTAAATTAGTGGTTAAATAAATAGAGACACTAAATAAATAATAAATTGTGATATAAAAAAGTAAATCTAAATTCAATATTTGACCCATGTATTGAACTTTTAATCAATAGTCAAACTTGTTTATCGATAACCTCCTTATCTCCTTATCCGGTAATTTACATTTTTAACGAAAATTTTGAAAATTTCGTTACAACAAACAAATTTATATTTAAAAATAAAATTTGTACAAATATATTTGTTGAGTTAAAAAAAAAAGCAAGATTTTAGATATTTTGACTTTCATTATTTATACTTTAGTTAATTAGCTAACTCGAACATAATAAAATAAAATATTAATTATTTTTTTAATAGATGATTCAATCTCTATCCTATAATTTATTTCTAACTAAATAAACTAGTTGAATTGAATTATATTTAAAATAAAAATTTAAAAGCGCCATTTAAAAAGCTCGTGAAAATATGGTTTTAAATTTTAATATTTATTAAAGTAATTTCCTTAGGTGTCCAAATAAGATCACCAATCGCACCGCCAAACCGTATTCCCTCGCTACTGGCGAAGTTGGAGTTTTAGGGTTTCAAATTCCATAATTTTTAGGTCTTTTCGTCCCGTTTGGGCGTCTCTATTCCAAAATACTTTCGGGAGGGAAAACTCCGAACGGAAAATCAAATTCCCGAGGCCCTCTTGCATCTCGATTCATCCAATCCAATCGATCCAGTTCGAAGCAGAGCTCCGGCAGTTTCTGAAGGTGAATATCCTAATCCCTCCTCCATTATATCATTCCATTTCCTAGTTTGCTGAACTTCGGAAACTGGAAATATACTCTTGTATTTGTTTGGTTTTTTATGGAATCTATGCGGTGAAAGTGGAGGCTGTTTTGTATATTTGAAGTTCCACTTGTTTGAGCTTCGTTGAATTTGATATTTCCCACGTTTTCTCAGTGGGTAATTTGAGTTTTTCTTGTTCTTGCGTGCTAGTTGAACTGTATAGTTTATTCTTACGAGCTTTCACGAGGCTAGATTTGTTACATATTCGCTTATGTATCATTTTTTGTTCAGTTTTTAGTATCTAGATTGTTTCCTCGGAATTCGAATTTGTGGGTTTTGTTCTTGTGGAACCTAGATTCCCCCAGCCTCTTGTAGGTTCTTTAATTAAGGTGACTCATCTGTGATTGTTGAGATTTTACTTCCATTTGATGGTCTGGTCTGGTCTGGTCTGGTCTGGTCTGGTCTGTACTGATATTGGTTGGCTTGCTTTGAACTTAAACGTTCATTTTTTTCAACTCTAATAAACTAAAGACATAACTAATTGTATGTTTATGCAGTCGACATATTTATCTTCTAAGTCATGAACACCACTTTGCATAGAACTCCCAACTCGGGGAGGCAGTCAATGTTCTACCAAGATTTAGCATCTCCTGTTACCTCGCGAAAAGGGAAATTTTCAACTCCAGGCCAGGCGGCTGCTGTATCTGCTTTATGGCGGGAGAATTTTGGAAACTCAGATCTTCCTCCTCCACCAGTTTTTACCTTGGAAGACCGCTCAGATTTCTCTCCTGAGTCTGGCATTCCTGATTATCCTCTTTCCCCAGAAATTAAATCAGACCCAAGGACCCCAATCCAAAGTCACGACTTCTCTTCACCGATGAAAAACAAGTCAAATGCCAGCACTTCGTATACACCAACTAGTGGACAACAAAGCCGGCAGGGATCAGCTGGATTTAGTTGGTGGTCAACATCAAAAGGTGGTGGCAGTGAGCAAGAAGATAAAGGAAAAAGTTCCCCAGTCGAAGGTGYGGTTCAGCCTGGTGCTTTAATCATTCTTCCAACCCCAAGGGAAGTTGCCAGACCAGAAGTGCAGAGAAATTGCTTCCCTGCTGGAAAACTCAACGAGGAAGAATGGGTTACTGTCTATGGGTAAGTCCTCTTTCGAATGATGCATTTATCGTCTTTGAGTTGTTATGCATTTTTGATGATTACGGATTATTTTAGTCTAGACATGAAACAGCTAACCATTTTGAGCTCATCTTTCTACCTTGGCTACTTTATGGTATATTCAGTATTGCCTAGCCTTTTCTCTCGGGTGCATCTCTTTCTCTCTCACACATGCATGCGTGCACATGCACACACTACTTCCATCACATATGATAGCATACCCGTGGATTGAACACTGCTGCAAGTAATCGCTATAACATTGAACATCTTCAATTTGGAACTGTTGTAAGCTCATCTTTCTATCTTGGCTACTTTGTTGTTCAAATGGGTGAGTCTTCTTATATATTTCAATTGTTTTGACATGGTAGGTTTGTTCCCTCTGCTTTAGATCTACCTCTATGTTAGTGCTGCAGTAAGCTATTGAAGTTATCGATTCTGATATGCGCAATTTCAGTTGTTAGTATTTAGTATTTGATACAATACAAATCAATGTGATTATTGATTCCAGGTGTTATTTGCATAATGTTGTGCCTTCTTTCTTCAGATTCTCCCCTGCTGATACAAATCTAGTTTTGAGGGAATTCGAAAAATGCGGTGAGATCTTGAAACACGTTCCTGGTCCAAGAGATGCTAATTGGATGCACATTCTTTATCAGGTACCGAACCACCACTGTTTACCTGCTTTATTTGACTTTGTTTGATGTTCTTTTTCTCACTCTTCCCGTCAATGTTGTCGTGTTTAAGATTGGAATGACTTGGTTGCTAGTTAGTAAAATTTTGGTAACATGATAATCATGTATTTTGAAATAATTGCAAAATATATTCACCTTCGCAAGTAAAGATTAAAGAGTTTTAAAATTATGATTGATTTATATGTTGTTAGGTTTTGTGATTTAATTGACACTTGCTGAGTGTTTTATTTGATTAGTAACCTTATCAAATCAATACATAACGTTGGATCAATGGGAAAATATATATTATATTATGTATATGTAATTGATACAGTATCCATATATAAACAGAAAGATGCTAGGTTCGAATTGATCTATATTCAACCTATTAGAAAAACTCCTTGAGTTTTTAATATGTTGTTTCATTTGTTGCTGGTGGCTGGTGCAGAACCGATCTGATGCCCACAAAGCTCTCAACAAAAATGGCGTTCAAATTAACGGGGTGCTAATTGTTGGTGTGAAACCAGTGGACCCGATGCACCGGCAGGCACTCGACGAAAAGATAAATAATCCAGGATTCATGGTTATCCCTCCGGTGCCTTCTAGAACCACAGAACTCCTTGCAACGAGAGGGCCTGTGCGTACCTACAATCTCCAAAATGGTAACAGTAATGCACGGCAGTCGGGAGGTACCATTGCTTCGCCATCGAAATCGTTGGTGTCTAAGGTCATGGATTTGATGTTTGGAGTCTAGGTTAGCTCCTCTCGGCTTATCAATTTTTGTGTGGTAAGAAATTCGTAAACATATGAGAGCTTACACATTGATTCGGCACAACGTGTTAGATTGTTGAAAACTGAGTACACTGTTCACAGTCCTCCATCTTGATCAACTTGTGATTGTTTATCCTGATTCTTACTGTTAAAAAAATGAGACAGAAGGAAATGAAGATTGATGCTTATGATGCTGGAACTTCTTTAGGCCCTTGTTTCTTAGGAACAAAAAAAAAAAAAAAAAGAGATGGGAATCGGAATCAGACGCAGAAGCAGAAGCAGAAGCAGGTAGTATAATGCCCTCCCCAATTTTGAGAAGCTGCTTCTTGTGGATCACACTCAACCCAACTAGTCTACATGAGAATTACAAATAGGTTGGAATTCCCATCTTTTTTTTTCATTATTTGTTTTCGGGAACTTTTTATTTTTTACTTTTTAAAATCATGTTGAGGGAATCTATAAGCATGCATTTATAGTTAGAAATATGCAAATTACCCATCAACAGATATGTTGGGGTTTTATTATTATTAGTATTTTCCACTATGATGTGATTTTTGGAAGTAGAAAAAACTTAGGTTTAAATATTATTGGATCATTTTAGTTTTTTTACTTTTTTACTTTAGTCTTTTATATTTTAAACGTTGGTTCATTTTAATTGTTATATTTTCGAAATCTTTGTTTTTGTTCTTGTCCTTTTAAAAGTGACAATTTGGTTTTTTATTTACAAAATTTTAATAGATATTTTATACATAATGAAAATTATTTAATATAAATTAATGACTACATTTAAAAAAATTTAGCTGAATTGGGAATAAAAGTATATGTTCGGAAGGAAGTCACCAAAATAGTATTTAAATAAAAAACTTAATATGGGTTCGGTTGAAACTTATCCTAAATTTAATGTAAATTGTCTATCTTTTAGTTAAATTAAGAGAGGATTTATGCAGAAAACAGACCATTTATCTAAAATAACAAAAATCTCCAGGTGTTAAGAGTTAGCTTTTTATCCTTGGAAAAGGAAAACAACGGTTTATAAAGTAAAAAGAATTGAATTTGTCAGTTTCGGTYGTACTGTCCTCGTCACGGGCACTGCTCCTTGGACCTTTCAATTCTTGCCACGTGCTAAATCTCAGTAATTCTTTACCATGTCTATTTATTTTACTTGTATTACAGTGCATTCTATCATTTCATTTAACAGTTTCATAATATATATACACAGCAGATTTTACGTTTCGTTAACAACAATACTAATTTAAATTGGTGATTATTTTTTAAGAATTCTAGTCAAAATACCTTCCAACACAGTCTTAAGTATACATGATTAGTGTGTGTTACTATCTAGTTGGAAGTTTTTTCCTGACTTAAATGTGAATTTAAATTAAAAGAATCCACGTAAGTCAAGTATTTTCTTCAAGAGTAATAAACAGTCATCTCTCAATTCCTTGTGTCGATGTCGGTCTGCAACATAACTCTTTTTATCATAAATATGAATTTCTAGCCGTTATTCATAATATATATATATATATATTACTATAAATATCAATGTTCTCTCTACCATCTCTATTCTCTTTCTGATGAGGGCTGTTATTTATTTTATATATTATAACCACTAATAAAATATTAACAAAATTTAATAGTCGATAAACAAAGAATTTGATTTTTTTTTTAGTACTGATATCATAATTATTCCTTAAAGAAAACAGAAACATGCAAAGAAATTATTACTCAACTAAGCTTACATTTAAAATGAAAAACTACAGCAAAATGAAGAAGCGCTCTCTTTGTCATAAATGGTTTTCTCAAATTAATTATTTAAAAGCACATTTATTTTATTTTTATTTATTGATATGAGACCATGCCAATAAAAAGAACGTGTTTTGAAAATTTATTTAACGGCCGCAAGAGAGGACGGTAAAAATTGGAGGGAACACCGAGCAGCAGAATAATATAAATAAATAAACTCTTATTTTTATGAACTTTCCCCACAACGCGACGCGCTCGCTGGTCGTTTAACAGAATCCTCATTCCTCCCTCGCGCACCTACAGAGAATCCTGCCCGAAGATACGCCTGAAACTTCCGATATGGCCAGTGCCCGGAAAATGCCGTCGGTGCCGGAGGTGGCGCTGCAACTTCCGGAGACCACGAAGGTGGCGGCGACGGCGTCCGAGAGTGGCAAGATTAGTGGACCTATGGAGCCGCCGGAGCGAAACTTCGGACGTCTGAGAGCTGATTTGTATCAGTTGGTGCTGAGGCTGCTTTGTATCGCTACGTCGGCGACGGCGGTGGCGTTGATGGTTACGGCGAAGGAGGCTAGCACTGTTTCCATTTACGGATTTGAACTTCCCGTTCACTCCAAGTGGTCGTTCTCGGACGCATTCGAGTAAGCTCACTGTTTAATGCCCTATAGTTTTTGGTGATTTGAGTCTGTGTTTGGCTTGTGAGGATGAAAATGGTAGAGAGGAAGAACTGTGAGATCCATCAGTTGAAATGTGTCTGCTCTGTAGAGGAATTAATGGTGGTCCCCTGTAACGATTATCACTGCTAAACTTTCAATTTCTCGTTTGTCTTTTATCCTCTTTATCGTTTGCGCTCCTTCAATGTTTTATTGAAAAGACTTCTGAAATTCGCTTGAGGAGAGGATATGAGAAAATCTCGACGGAGCCTAAAAGGCAGGAAGGGGAGATTAAGTGATGAGATGTGTAGTTTCTGTCTGCTATTTTGGGGGAAACATTTTACTGCTCTTTCTTTTCGTTTCTTAGCGAATTTTCTTGGCATCCAAACAGAGTAGCATCTAGTATATAGTTTCTGATCACTTTTGATTCCATTATTACTGGTTTGCCTACTTTGGGAAAGACCACTTTCAATCTTACCATTGATCGAGTCGCTTTTCTTCTGTTTGGACGCCGACAAACCTGTGCTCCTGAAAAAATAGAATTCGGGAAATCCTCTACGTCCAAGTTCCATGACATCTTGCAAATGAACAGAAATGAACCCGTGAACCGGATTCCTTCTTTCCTCAAAATATTCCCCTTTTCATGTTTGTCTTCTTCTGGACCTGTTTTAGACCCTCCATAAAAAAATGTTGACCAACGGCCTTCCGCTGAATTGCTTTGTCTTTCTGTATTAATATTATTGCATTCGATGGCACCACGGATCACTTAGTTAGTTTCTATTTTAAATGGCAAGAAAACAAAAGGGTTTGTTGCATTTATTTAGACTTTGTTATTATTAAATTGAATTACGTGTTAAAACAGAGTTGAGATTGTGGGTTGTTTTTGAATGAGTAGAAAGAAGTTGAACCCCCGTGAGTTTTTGGTGAGTGCAGGTATCTTGTTGGGGTCTCGGGGACTGCCGCGGCCTACTCTTTGCTGCAGCTGCTCGTTACTGCTTCCAAGCTTTTCAGGAAGTCCCCAGTGCATTGCTCCAGAAGCCAGGCCTGGCTTATTTTTGCTGTTGATCAGGTAACTAATTTATAGCTTAGGGAAAGATGACTATATTGCTTCTGATTTCTTGCGGCCCCTAGTTACATGTTAGCAATAATGGTGATGCTTTTCTCACTCTTTGCTATAAATATGCCACTAAAAAAGCTGGCACTGCTGACTTTAGAGGAAGAATAATATTTACCTTTCGCACCAAGTAACACCTTCTATTGATACTAGAGGGATTAAATCAGAGAAAATACTTGGCTCCTTCATGGTAAGAAGCAATCTTATCCTCACCAACTATTAAATGTTTGATAACTAAAAAAGAGAAATGCAAAATCAAAGACTTTTTATAAAAATTAATGAGTTGTAATTTTTGAATGGTGGTTAAGACAGGTTGTACCTTTTAGGATTTTGACAAACCATAAATTATATTTCTCTGAAAATGGAAAAAAGCAATGGGACTTTTAGAGGAAGATCAATAATACTTACCTCGGAAAAGAATCTTCCTACTAACCACCACTGTTCTAATTGGTACTGATAGTAGCATTGGGAATGGATTTAAGTTTCGTGATAGTAGCATTGGGACAAGTGAAAATAAATTAAAAGAACTTCAGAGAAATAGATTCAAGTTTTATGGTTGTTACCTACTTAAAATAGTATTGTGTTTCAGGATGATGCGGAATTTGAAATTTGGAGATTACGAGTGTGTGTTTTGAATAATTCGTTTTGTGGGTTGCAGGCGTTGGCATATGCGCTGATGAGTGCTGGGTCAGCTGCAGCTGGGATCTCAAATCTGAATCGCACTGGCATTCGGCACATAACTCTGCCTAATTTCTGCAAGCCATTGCAAAGCTTCTGTAACCACGTTGCCATTTCTATTGCCTTCACATTCTTTACCTGCTTCCTGCTCACCACTTCCGCCATTCAATGCGCTATTTGGCTCTCCAGAAACTGAATCCTCCCCACCACCACCACCACCACCAAAGGAAACACAACTTTCTGTAAAAAAATGCTGCTCCTCTCTCTGGTTCCATGGAGTGTCCTTGAATCCAAAGAAACTTGTACCTTGTAGGGCTATATATACATGGCATGGGAGGATGAGAATCCACTGTTGTCTTTTTAGCTGAGATTGTTCATTTAGGTGACTATTAACTTTAATAGTCATATGGTGTACTATTAACTTTGATCCCAATAGAGTTTTAGAAGAATGAGATTGGTTTGGAACTCGTTGTCTAAAGTATTTTTAGAGGAATAATATATAGGTGCTTACGGGTGGAGTAGATATATCTTCGTATTTACCATTCTTACAAAATTGACAACTACTTATTTTCTGGAAGAAAAGAAAAAAAAAATCTATTTTATCTATTGTAGTTGTCGATTTTTTAATGGTTGCAAGTAGGACTCTTGTGAACACCTAAATATTATTCTGTTTAAATTTTATAATGCAGGTAGCAATTTGTCCTAGTTCATGATACCTTTTGTTATGCGAAGTAGGATCTTTTTATGGATTATTGAGAAGACACTTGATTGAAATCTATATTTTATATTACAATTTCGACTTTTACAGGTTTGTCTCGGACCCTCACGAGTATAATTTGAAATTAAAATAAATTTATATTTGGTTAAGATATTAGTGACTTGTAATGATAAGTTTATACAAATTCGAGCTTTTATAGCATGTACTTTTATACTATTCAAATACACTGAACAAATTCATACTTCCTAAATCTAAATTTACTTAATTAAGTTCTGTTTTTTTTTATACTTTCAAGTTCTGTTTTTTTTTTTTTTAATACAATACTTGAAAGTGGAAATTTGAATTCACTGGTTAGAGATAATGAAGAATACAACTTGTTGATTCCAAGTAATTAGGTTTGGATCGACAAATTTACAAGCTAATTTGATATTAGGTTAACAATAATCAATGACCAATTAAAAGAAGGAAAAAAGGGGCAATAATGAATAATTTAATTTTTCCCTTGAATTGCCCTTTCTTCGACAACATTTCCGTCGTTCAGTATTATCCAGAGCAATCGTGAAGGTATCAACGGAAGCTGAATTGGACTTCGTTCCCGCGCTTGTCTTCCAACAATGTAGCATTCTCTTAGGGCTTCACTTCCATTGATTCTCCCGTCTGCATCCACTCCATGGCCTGCGAACGCTTTCACAATCTTTCTTCCTCAATTTATTCGTCTTCTCCATTCCCCAATTCCAGACTCGGAATCCTCAAGCAACGAAGATGGCGTCGCCCTTATCCCTCCATATCATCTCAAATTTCAACACCGTCCAATTTTCGAGGTGACGAAGACGAGGATTCGAAGAAAAACAGGCTGAAGAATTTCCTTAAACTCTCTGTAACCCTCACTATAGTTTCAGCCTCTTTTCCTATATCCAGCGCCCATGCTGCTACAGCCGCCAAAGAAGTGAAGGAACGGAGGCGTGGAACTAAGAAATCTTCCGCCAAAAAAATTGAAGCTCTTTCGCCTCAGGAGCTGMTTTCATGGTCGCAGGGACTTCCACCTGTCTCGAACCGGATTCCCTACACTGAAATCCTGGATTTGAAAAGGGAGGGAAAAGTTAAGCATGTGATCAGAGTTCCTTATGGATTTTTTAGGCAAAGGTCGGAGCCGGTAATGGTGGTTCTGGAGGATTCCAGAGTGTTGAGGACGGTCTTGCCGTCTGGGGAGAATAATCGAAGGTTTTGGGAGCTGTGGGATGAGTTGGGGATCGATACGGTTTGTGTTAATGCATATACACCTCCAATAAAGCCTCCAGATTTGCCTGCTCCGTATTTGGGATTCTTGTTGAGAGTACCGGCGTTTATGTATTCCTTTGTTAAACCGAAGAAGGAATCAAAGAGGGCTGCAGAGATTAGGCGTGTAAGGGAGGAGTTAAAGATGGAAAAGACTGTTGAATTGGCGAAAATGAGGCAGGAAAGAGAGATGATAGAGAAGGCATTGAAGATGCAGAAGAAACAGGAGGAGAGGAGGATTAAGAGACAGACAAGAAGAAAGAAGGAGGAGGAATCATTGCGTGAGGCTAGAAAAAACTACCAACATATGGCGATTGTGTGGACAAATTTATCCCGGGATTCGAATGTGGCAACAACCCTTGGTTTGGTTTTTTTCGTTATTTTCTATCGAACAGTGGTGTTCAGCTATAGGAGACAAAAGAAGGATTATGAGGATCGATTGAAGATTGAGAAGGCTGAAGCAGAGGAGAGGAAGAAAATGCGGGAGTTAGAAAGGGAGCTGGAAGGTATTGAGGGTGAGGATGATGATATTGAGCAAGGAAAAGGTGAACAAAATCCTTACTTGAAGATGGCTATGCAATTTATGAAGTCGGGTGCTCGAGTTCGTCGGGCTCATGGCAAGAGGCTGCCTCAGTACCTGGAGAGAGGTGTGAATGTGAAGTTTGAGGATGTCGCTGGACTTGGGAAAATAAGGCTCGAGCTTGAGGAAATTGTGAAGTTTTTCACACATGGAGAGATGTACCGGAGAAGGGGTGTAAAGATTCCAGGTCAGAATTTACTTTTTAGCGCATGAACCTTATTTTTAAAGGTTTTTTTGAACTAAAAATGCGATTTTCAGGGTCCTAATGAAGATTAAGCTATGTATGGGTAGCTTCCTGCTTCAAAAGGAAACACAAAGTAATTGGAGATGTTTCATTAAATTACTCTAGGCTTAATGTTTATTTATCAGGTGGTATTCTGCTTTGCGGTCCTCCTGGAGTGGGGAAAACTTTACTAGCAAAAGCAGTTGCTGGTGAGGCAGGGGTTAACTTTTTCTCCATATCTGCTTCTCAATTTGTGGAAATATATGTCGGGGTTGGTGCTTCTCGTGTTAGAGCCCTATATCAAGAAGCAAAAGAAAATGTATGCCTGTCCTTGTATGCTCAGCTTCATTCTATTCTTTAAATTTCTCTTAATAAAAGATTCCATTGTCTCCGTTGTTCATCTCCATTATTTGAACACTCAAGTCCGCACTGAACTGTGGTTGATACTACTCTTGGTGGTGCTCGTCTAATGTAATATATGATCTCTCTGATCTAACTCTTATAAGGTTTCATTTTCCACGTCCACTTTCTTGATCTTCTTAGTTTCTCTATTCATTTGTTATAATTTAAAAATTCTCTTGATATTAACATTGTCTTCAATATTATGTTGGTCATGTAGGCTCCATCAGTTGTTTTTATTGATGAGCTAGATGCTGTTGGGAGGGAACGTGGTCTGATAAAAGGTTCTGGAGGGCAAGAGCGTGATGCTACTCTTAATCAGGTTTCTGGGCAAGAATTATTAGTTCTGCAATTGTGAACTGGAAAGTCCTGCGTGGTGCTTAATGGTCTCTGTGTTGCTGCTGCTTTGTGTGTTGCAGCTTCTTGTCTGCTTGGATGGATTTGAAGGGAGGGGAGAAGTGATCACTATCGCTTCTACTAATAGACCTGATATTCTTGATCCAGCACTCGTGAGACCTGGACGGTTTGATCGAAAGATTTATATTCCTAAGCCTGGACTTATTGGTCGCATTGAAATTCTCAAGGTAACACAGTTTTCATCTCTTTTTATGGTTTTGCCGTTTCACAGATTGCATAGACTTAGATGATAGTAGATTTACAATCAGAATTCTATGAGTTCCCGAGACTCATATGTTACTATTTTCTTACGTGATTATAGGTTCATGCACGAAAGAAACCTATGGCTGAAGATGTTGATTATATGGCTGTTGCTAGCATGACAGATGGAATGGTTGGTGCAGAACTAGCGAACATAGTTGAGGTTGCTGCTATAAATATGATCCGTGATAGCAGAACTGAGGTACTATGCTACTTGGACTCATAGCATACTTTTGTCATTTATTTACGAAAAAGAAATACAAAGATTTCATCATATTGAGTTCACTGAGAATCTACTAGTGTTTCACTTTCCAAAGAATACTGAGTTCAATGTGTGTATATCCTTCTACCAAGTTTCCATATTGTCTCCGGAACAGGCAGTCTTGAGTTTGCGTAGTTTTGCTTTATTTTGGTTGTTATCACTTACCGTAAGATGGAAAAATATGGTACCATATCCCACCCAAGAGGATTACAAAAATGACCTCCAATTAGCAAAGATTTGAAACAATACACAATTACAAAAATCTTTCAAAAGAGTGCCCCAAGTAGAAGCAAAAAGTCTAATTAGATCCAAGAAACATGGCAACAACAGTCCCTTGAACCTCCACTGCATTGGACCAACTAATCCTAGCTTCGTCAATTAGTAGGTGCCTGAAATAAGTTGGACAAGAGATCATACTAGCTTGATGCAGCAAGAGGGCTGAAAAAGAAAAGATGTGCTTGATCCTTCACTCCCTTATTACACGTGAAGGACCAGCCAAGGCAGAGCAAGAAATTTGGTGTTTTTTTTTACTCTACAGTCAGCACCTATTCAGCTTTTCAAGAGCAAAGATCCCCACAAAGAATTTTACCTTTTTGGAAATTTGAGCTTTCCTGATGATATTTTCAAAAGAAGGGCAAGCCTTCCTCTCAACGAGATTGGGCACCAAAGATCTAATAGTAAAGGCTCCACTTCAAGATCAGAAATATTTCTTCTAAAGTTGAGATCCCACCCTTCAAAGCCTCTGACCAGCATTGGAAGATAAGAAAGATTTTGGATTTAGCCACCCTATAGAGCCTCAGGAGGGCTCCTTGAAGAGGGGGGTATTACTGAGCCATGGATCTTTCCAAAAAGGAACTTTGTCTCCCTTGCCAACATCAAATCCTTACCATTCATCAGCCAACTTACAGCAATTCACGATGGAAACCAAAGGGCCTTTGAATCTACAGGGACCTTTTGGAATAGGGATCCATTACTCATAGGAAAGCTGGTATTTGCTAGTGATGATGTTCCTCCACGACACATTTTTCTCATTCATAGACTGCCAGCCCCATTTTGCCAAAGTGTTATATTTTAACCTTTAAGATTCCTTCATCAAGGCCACCTTTGAAAATGGGAAGACAGGTAATTTCCCGGTTAACTAGGTTGGTTCCACCCCCATTCTTAACACCTTTCCTGAAGCCTTCTCTAAAAATCTTTTCTGAATTCTTCACTTCCTTCTGGGACATCTAAAAGAGGATAGATAATATAGATGGATACTCAAGCATGCATTCACTAGTCATCAATCTTCCTTCTTTTGAGAAAGAATATTCTTCTGTTATACCTACTTGTCAGATATCCTGTCGTTAACACCCAAAGGCATCCCCAAATAGTTGAATAGCCAAGTTCCTAGTGCACAACGCCAAGGGCAAGAATGGACTATACTATTAACCTCTTCTTCACTGACATTGATCCCGGTAATAGATGTCTTGACAAGGTTTATTTTCAGACCGGAGAAAACCTAAAACAGCTTGACTACTGCATATAAAAATTGCTAAGCTGACCAGAATCATTTGTGGAGAAAAGAAGTGTGTCACCTACAAAATGAAGATGGCTTATATGGATAAGATCTCTACCTATCGCCAAGCGTCGGAGACACCTTCTCCAATCCCTTTGTCAAGAAAGCTACTAAACACATTCGCAATAACCACAAGGAAAGGAGCACCTATTCCTTTTATAGATATTGATTGGTATTCTCATAAATTAAAAAAAAAGATATAGATGGGTATTATTAATTTTTCTCTTCCATTATTTTCTGATTTTATGATTTCCTATATAAGTATTTTGAATTGTCCACACAATAGATTTTCTATCATTTTATTAGGAAGAAATTCTCTGATTTGCGCAGATTACTACCGATGATTTATTACAAGCTGCTCAAATTGAAGAAAGGGGGATGCTGGACAGGAAGGAAAGAAGTCCCGAGACATGGAAGCAAGTGGCCATTAATGAAGCAGCAATGGCTGTTGTAGCAGTGAACTTCCCCGATCTTAAAAATATTGAATTTGTACGTTCTTGTTCATCATTTAAAATATTGAATTTGTACGTTCTTGTTCATCATTCTTTTTTTAAATTTCACGTATGAATATTTTATTTCATGCACTAGCATAACCTACAATCTTGACATTCTTTATTCTGGGAGTAGATTGAGCTGTATATAACCTGAATAACATTAGGAAGGAACAAAAGTAATCTTTGTAACAGCAATGAATTACCTTTTCAAATATGGTTCTTGATCAATTTCTGCAGCAGCACTTTTACTTGTATAATCAGGGAACTTGTGGTACCTTTTATCGATTAAGTCATACTCGAGTCCTGACTGTCACCTATAGTGAATATGTTGAACGATACTTTCATGACTTCTCAGTATGTTTGTACCACATTAGCAACACAAACCACACATCTGGAGTAGAACGTTTCGTAGATGTAACCATTCTCATTGAGAATTCTTCATTTTTATGCCCACTATATTCTGAAATCTAGATGCTGTGTTAGTGTACTTGATACTTGCTATATTCTTATAATTTGAACCTGACTCCATATCTGGTGCAGGTCACCATTGCACCTAGAGCTGGTAGGGAACTGGGTTATGTTCGGATGAAAATGAATGCCATAAAGTATAATGAAGGAATGCTTACGTATGACATATTTCTATTTCTATCTCTTTCAGCAATTCTCTCACCTGTTTCAAACACTGTTACGATTTGTGTTTTTATGAAAGCTATTCTGGTATGTAAAAAGTCCTCGAGGGTGGTGCATTCTCATGAGATTTTTTTGCTTAAGCATTCTCATGAGTTGCAGTCCGTATTATTGTTATTATTTTTTACTGCACTAGTTTTTCCGTTCAAAAGATTTCTATTTAAAATGCATAACAAAACCTTTATCAATTCATTTTTCGTATTTCTTACTCACGTAAATGATTTCATGCAGCCGCCAGTCCCTCTTGGACCATATAACTGTTCAACTAGCACCACGTGCAGCAGATGAGCTTTGGTATGGGGCTCACCAGGTACGATACTTGTATAATTGTCAAAATATTGTTGTATTGGAAGCTATGTAACAATTTTCTCACCATCACGTCGTGGACATTCTCTTTACACAATGCTGAATTGGATATTGAAGCAAATTGAAGGAGAAAACAGAAGCTAAGTAAATGTAAAATTTGCTCGCTTTGGTGTCAATGTTGAATTAATACATGCATTGAGAAGCGTCTCCAGGCACCCCTTTTTTTTTTTTAAATATTTGCGGTTCACATTTTTTTCCCTGCTGATTTTTCAGCAGAGATAATTATGGTTAAAGCATGATGTGTTTAGAATTTCAGTATCAGGTTGGTGAATTCTACAGGATAATAATGGATAATAAGCTGATTAGTCAACTTTCTTGCTGCACCTACCGTTTGGAGAATCTCTCTTTTTTTTTTTTTTTCCAAACCTCCATGTCCCCTTGCTTGCAGTTTGCTTTTTTTAAATTGTCTGATTTAAGCTGGTGCAATCTATTATGGATTACAGTTGAGTACAATCTGGGCTGAAACGGCAGACAATGCTAGATCAGCTGCAAGAACCTTTGTTCTTGGAGGCCTTTCTGAGAAACACTATGGAGTATCCAACTTCTGGGTTGCAGATCGAATCAATGTACGCCCTCTTTGAACCATGAACCTCTTATAATATCATATGTGTATGTTCATAGTTGATGTAGACACCGAGGTGTTAAATCTCTAGGTTTCAATTTTATGAAAACGGAGGTGGAAATATCGATGTCAATGGATATTCGTAGAAAAATTAAGCATTTCCCTTTTTTAAAATTATATTAAAATTTATTAATATAAATATTATGTTGTGATATTTCGTTGATATTTGTACAATTTGTCAATTCTATTGCAATACTGTAGAAATGTTGACTCAAAACTCATGTCGATCCAAATTCATGGACATATAGAAATGTCGACACGTCGATGAAAATTTAATATCTTAGTAGACACAAGGTTATATATTTCAGAAAGATAAAAAAGAGAGCGTACCTGTAACATATTTATGATTTGTATGGTTGCCATTTCCAGCTTGATGTGACCCAATCTTGTATTGGCAGGATATTGATTTGGAAGCTTTGCGGATTTTGAACGTCTGTTATGAGCGTGCGAAAGAGGTACCATAGCTTTTCTAGAAATCTAATATAGAAACAAAGCTAAATATATGTTTTACTCCCTAATTTTTAGGGGTTTTTTTTTTCAAATTCGTCCTTCTTGTTTAAAAAACTTTAATTTTAACCCTTTACATGCTAACAATTTTCAATTATATGTTTTCTGGAGGTGAATATTATAATTAGCCAAGCTTACATAATATGATACTTAGAGTTGATATAAATTTGGAGGAGTAGTTGGGCCACTAAGAGAAGGAAGATTCTGCAAAAATCTGGACTCTTTTTATCTTAAGCGGCTTAATTTCTAAGTTTATGGAATCCTTCGTTATTATGTCATATAAGTTTGTCACTAGTAAATTTTAACATTCACCGATAAAAAATATATAATTGAAAAATATTAAAACATAACTTTTAAAATGATAGAGACTAAATTAAATTTAAAAAAAAGGCAAATTATTTAGCCTATGAACAATGCCACATATTTCTTATTAATTATTAATTCTAATATCCTTGTTTCTTGTATTAGATCTTGCAACAAAACAGGACGCTCATGGACGCAGTGGTTGATGATCTTATTCAAAAGAAAAGCTTAACAAAACGTGAATTCTTCCATTTGGTCGAGTTGCACGGCTCCATTAAACCAATGCCTCCGAGCATTATCGACCTTCGAATCGCCAAGCGGACCAAGTTCCAGGAGGAGATGATGAAGATAAACCAGAAGAAAATAGCCATAGGCAGCAGCTCGTGAACAAGGATCCCGAAAACCATTGCCATCACTCTTCTAAAACTTGAGATCATGGGTTCACAAATATATATCAGTGACCGTGTAAGTCATTGCCTGAGCGGGAAGCCACAGAGAGCTGGCTGCCGGAGGCCGTTTCTTCCGATCAACTTCCGGCGAAGAATGTGTATGAAGATTGGATAATCGATCAGTTGGAGGGCAAAAAGGTGCATGTTTGTTAGTTTCTGTTCGATTTTACCACATCTGAAATGTAGTTTCTGCGTAGTTCACAATTTTTATTGCACAATTTCTTCTCCATTTATAGGCTGTATCTTTTCATGTAATCCATTCTGAAGCTGCAGGTGATTTTTTTTTACTACTTTAAGATTAATGTTACTCCGCAATAAGTTGAGGCTTTCAAAATATTTTTTTAAATATAAAATCATTTATTTTTCTTTTTTATGGATGTTAGTTGAAAGCATAAAATTTTTTTTAAAAGGGTATTTTCGTAATTTTGAAAAGGGTGTAATTTATTTTCGTAATTTCGTAATTTTCCAGTTTTTTTTTGGGTTATAAAATCAACTACTTTTTTTTATGCATGTTGGTCGAACGATAAACAGACGGTTTGAAAATAAAAAAAATGTAAAATTCGTATATAATTCTTAAAAGTTTTTAGGTGTCCTTTTATTTAGTTCATCCAACCATGTTATTTTATTCATCTATTTCATTTACTGTCTTATATCCCTAAAACTACTAAAGTAGAGTGCGATCTATGGAAATTTATTGTGTTTTGTTTTTACCATACTACTGTACTCTTGTAAATATTTACCGCGTGTTTTTTCTTTTATTTATTAAATTTGTATTACCACTCCAGCATAGATTTTATTAA